TAATGGCGCACTGTGACTTAGGCAGAAATGTGTCTATGACTTGGGGACATACGCAGTTTTGCACTTTACTATATGCACCAGTCTTGAAAACTGAACATTCCAAAAACGAATTTAATTCTCAGTATCTACAATGTCCAATCTCCGAAATAGCTAATCAGTTCCAATTACATTATTTTTTATGTTTAAAAATATATATTTCATCAATATAACACGTTCTGCACACCCACCGAAAGAAGATTAAGATTAAATATAAAGAATAAAACAGTAATGCATCCAATATAAAAGCCAACCAAGGTGAATTGAACTCGGACAGTGGATATCACAAGTGCACGCCTTCCTATACTGTAGTATAAATTTAAATTAATACGCGCTAAGCTGGAATCCGAGATGCAAAAACTCGAAAATACTTTGCCGAGGGTATTTTGCCTTTGTGACGTCACAATAGTCCTGCGGTAACAATGATAATTCATTATGACGAAACAATTGCACAAATGTGCATGTCATACTAAATCTCCATTTTTATGGGTTTCGGAATTCTTAAAATAAAATCTGAGTTAACAGACAGGTGCGCAGCATTACATAAATACCTATTTTATAAAAAAAAAACTCAAAATCGCCAAAAATGACTTACGCAATTCGGTTATGAGCGTGACGAATATATATATATGTTTATAGGAAGAAATTTGGCTTTGACAGTAACAATAGAACCAAATCCATCGTTACAGATTCCGATCGTAATTTCAACCGCGCACTGACGTCATTGAATACTCCTTTAATCGTAAAATCATGTTTTTCAAAACAAATCTTTTAGCGAATAAGAATCACCCAATCTTACGATTTCACACATCCTTTTAAACGGCATTACTGGAGTAGTATTGTTAATTCTGAGACCAAAGTGCTATTGCTATGGCAACTGTAAAAATAGTTTGAGTGATTATGTTATTGTCAGGTTGCTTTATTATCTTGCTTTATTATCTATATTACCACGGCCAGCACCATTTTTGAGTATTGTTGTTTTTTCATAAATATCTTATAACATCGCTTTTTATAAATAGCTTCAGTATATATCAAAAATGTGTTTCTGTAGTACCCCACTCTCTTTTCAAGCGACCCCACTTTTCAAAATATTAAATTTTGTAAAATCTCGCTATCCAAGGATATGCTCAAATACTAAATGCATGTGTTACTTTTATGGCCCCAAAATTAAATGACTAATATAAAACAATCATTTTTACATAACATCTATTTCCTCAAAAGTTAACTCAAAGTGAGGAAGCTGCGCTCGTTTGCCCTCAGCGAGGTTTTGAAATCGTGGCGTGGATTTACATGAGAAAAAAAATGCTGCCAAGGTTTTAAGCTGTGATACTCCCTACATATACAATTACTATTGAGCAACACTTCAATACCAAATATAAATTGAATTTACTAAAAAATAAAATTAGTAACTTGTAGGTTTTTGTTGAAAAAACAAGCGACAGAAAAATATATTCGGGCGACCCAGTTTTGGGCCGAGACCTATCATAGATTGGGAAACACTGATATATAGTATGCAATTGACTGAAACGGCTCAGCAAACATACTATGTGATACGTAAAAAAATATTTTACCGATGAAGTAACAGTAAAAAACTTAATTGGAAAAAAAGGGTTCATTGTATTCGGCAGACATGCGTGCAGGATCCAACTTTTCAATTTCTCGTTCTCTAAAATATTTGAAAATTTAACTCCAATATTCTCTAATATATTGTAATAACATCATTTGCTATTCACAAAGCACAAATAATTTTCGAATTCCAATCCAAATTGAATATATTCTGATCTCGCAGCTGATTTTCCTTACTTGAAATCATAGCGTTGTAAATATTATTGGCCCTGAACTTGGTTGGATAGTTTCCAACGAAATACCCCCCCACAACAAGAAATAACTTCACTTCGCTCATTTTAGATATCATGAAGGCCCTTGGGGTTCCCCAGGGGCCAACTCTATCTATATATATATATAATGAGAAATTTTCCCAAAAAATCTTGCTTTGTGCAATCCCCTTAAAACTATATTTGTTTCCTTTGTGGAGTTGTTTGAGCTATTTCGAGTCTCATGTCAACCGCTACCGGATATCTCTGTCGTCAAGATAAACTTGTATATAGCTCTCAGTGCGTCAGTGGTCATTACCAAAATTTCTGTCAGAACTTTTTTCAACTTTTAGTTGAGATGTGGCGACCTTGCTTTGAACAAATTTGTGTAAAATAGGAAATTGAGTTGCATAGGTATTGGACATATATCTGTTATTGATTTGCTTAGATTGCTGGCTCTTTGTTCGCCACAAAATAACTTGATATTGCCACACTAAGTTTGGGCTGCAAAATATTAACATAATTCAAAAATGAGATATATTGTATAAAATATCACTTATTTCATTCCAAAAAGTAAACAACTTCACCGTTAAATTAACCGTCGGACGAATTAAGCATTTCAAATATTTGCAGATATATATATAATACAAAACAGCAATAAAAATATGACTTGAATGAGTCAAAATCACAGTGTCTGTTGTTCATATATTTTTTCACCGACGACTCCCATCGTTTTTTCATAATTTTCCATTCTGATAACATTCTTGATCCAGAGGATTTATACTTTTTATCATTTCCGACGTGAAACAACATTACCTCGTTGCGAGGTGTTCTTCTTTCAACCATTTGCTTAATATTAGTGTCTTTGAAGTTTAACTTTTCTCGCAGAATACCTGTATGAATGCATTGCAGCAATAAATATATATAATAAATAAATAAATGTTAAAATCCACTCAATTGAATCACCTATTTTCAACAATCTGATGTCTTGGTATTACTTATTAAATAGTATCTTCTATACTTGGAACATGTGGAATGTTTATTCAAACAAATCAAGATACCGAGTTTGATTAAATGCAACCCATGAATATATGCGAAAAGTTAGGTATAAGCAGTATGCAAGACGCCGTTACCAAAAGCACAAATTTTATAATTATTTCTAGCCTAATTATCAACTGATAATGATGATGATCTAATCTAATTGTATGATAATTGAAGATTCCGCTCGTTCAAACAGCTTCGTCCAGAGCAGATGTACGAGGTGACAACATGAGATTGTGTTTATTGTGAGATAACAAGGATAAATAAAACTGAAAAGTGGACAGATCAGCAAAAATGAGTTATCAGTGTTTGCAAAACAGCCCCAAAATATATGCAGTTTCAGGTAAACGAAATATTGATGTTTGAAATTATTTTTGCGACTTACTAGGGTATCAAATTATTCGCATGTAATGCATTGATTAAAGATTTCTACTTGTTCAGACTAATTAGATCATACCTGTCAACAAGACATCTTCCAGAAAGAAATCACTAAAGTCTGTTATTTCTGATAAGCAGTAAATCCCTTTCATCAAACGTGGAGAAAGAGTCCATAAACCACCATGGCAAAATGTTGGAAAATAATCTCCCGAATATTGCTCAATTGTCAATGCCCTATAAGAAAATGTCGCTATTTACAACTTTGTCAATAATTACAATAATCCGTAACGTAGCGAGCGAGCTACTATGTGGGATATAACCTTTGTTATATGAAATTGCTAATGAGTGGAGCTGTCTCATCCCAAAATGTCCTCAACCGGGACCCAAGATCGGAAACAACCAGCAACGCCCATGTCCTAATTTTCAGGGAAACGAAATTATAACGTTGAAACCCAGAACTAAAAGTTCTAATTAGCAAAGAGACAGTCGGACTAATGGTTTTTGTATTAATCGGTTAGTTAATTATCTTTTTGACACAGCAGCAAACTTTCTACTATATTTATAACAGTTTTTTCTCGAAGACAGATTGCAATGCCGAGAAATAGCTTGTATGTGAATTCCTCGGGGTTACAGAACCAAAACGCCACTGGATGCATGTGCTGTTAGTGTAAAAGTGAGCAAGAAAAGAAAGCAATAACTTAAGCTCATACGGACAAAACAGATTATATATTGAGTCCCCAAAGCAGTACTGGTGAAGTTAACAATTATTGTATAGACATCCCCATACTATGAAATGAATGACAACTAGGTGTCGCTGGTTTTCAGCGTCTCCATCCACTCTGTAAATACTATCCTTATCTTATTCTGCTCGTATATATGTTGCGTATTTTCAGTATTGGTGGAAAAATAAATTACTGATTACTGAAGCGTGCGCAGGGAAAGGAGTATTGCTATTCAGTATAGTATAGCATCACCATAAATATTCACAATTCTGAAAAAAACAAATCGCATCCTTTTCCAGTATCTACTTAGTGCGCAAGAATTCAGTAAAACATTTGTTATACTAGGTTTCTTAAAAAAGAAGTTTTGCATTTTAATTTCACCGAACGTTTTTGAGAAAGAATAATGCACTTACCATTTGGTTTCTTCTCTGTGTGGTTTTCCATCGTGAAGGAGTTTTAATCCACAATATACCTTCTTTTGATAATCCGGGTCAGTAGTAACGTTAGCATCAATGAAATATTGCATTCGAGGTAAATTGACCAGGCAATCATCATCCGTCATAGTAACAAATTTAACGTTCAACTCTTGTTCTAGAATCCATCGGAAAGTCGACAACACCTTAATTCAAAGTATATGCACGAGCTTAGAGTTCAGACTATTTATGTAAAAGATGCCTCACCATGAAATCAATATATCCGTCATTTCATGGATTTATTATTACTTATCGATTTTAATCGGTAAGTATGTTGATAGGTATCTGTCTGTTTGTTTGTTTGTTTGTCTGTCTGTTTGTCTGTCTGTCTGTTAGATGCACGCGATATCTCACGAAAGCAAGATTGAATCTGCTCCAGATTTTGCAAGTGCATTCATCATATGTCGGACCAGAAGCCTATTGATTTTGGATGAATTATGTCGTATAATTAGCGGGTTATTAATTAATTAGTGATTGGACACAAGGTGTCACTATGGAGCAAGAGCGCTGTTTTGGGGGATCCCCTAACTTTCGGTCGATAAGTCTTCGGTCTCTGACGATATCTCGTTTCATATTTTATTGGTGTTATCTTGGTGCCCGACTATCAAAAAATACCTGCCGAAATATAATCAACCAAAAATACCAAATTTACTGTTCGAACAAGAATCAACAAATGGTAAATTGCAGAACGCCAGCCACGTGGTAGCACTATATTTCTGAACGATTAGACCCGCGGTGGTTCTCAAACAGTGGGGCGCGCCCACACAAGGGGGGCGTAGACAATCTTTTGAGGGGGGCGTGAATTAAAAATAAAAATATTTGCTACTAAATCTTGATGAAGCATTTGGAAACACATGCTCAAACTTTCCATTTATTTCATTATTTATCTTCCTCATCACGTATTTTTCAACTTGTTTTGAAATAAAACATCTTTCGCCCCCAGTAATATATCTGTTATTGTAGCTTATTGTTATAGCTAGTTATTTTTAAGGTGGGGAGCGAGACTTGGCAAATTATGAAACGGGGGCGCGGCCTCAAAAGTTTGAGAACCACTGAATTAGTCCTGTGGAATTTCAAAACAAACGGAGAATGGCTATTAGTGTACTCCATTACACTGTTTTGTAAGAGATACCAATAAATCCAAACTATCCCAATAGATCCTTCTTAATATATTTTAGGATAATATCTTTTAATATATATCCAATAATAAAAGTTTGTTATGTCTCCGCTGAATGACTTTAGATAAAGTTCATGGAAACTCGAACTATGGCCCATAAGGTATATATCTATATGTAGGCTACATTATCTATATATGATTGTTTGTCATACCTTGATAGGAAGAGCATGATATTCATCAAGAAAATTGCATTGTAGAATGTCGCCAAATTTCTGATTTTCTTTTCGCAAGTTAATATTTACTGTTTCGTCATTCGTTTTTCCTATCACGAACAACACAAATATACCATATTTATTAGAATTAGATGAAGATCCCCATGTATTACGAACAGATATTCTGTTTTCTTTCGTAAGATGGAGCACTTTTCACAACAAATAACATCCATATTTCTTGGGGTGGTCTTTTGTTGCCGAAGTAATTTTGCGGAAAATGAAGTCCAGAGGTTCCACAATAAGGTGCCGGGTCCGACTTTGGCAACATTGCAGTATACCTTTTTGGTAAGACGTGAAATCTTCGTGAAGTAAAATGCCGAGGTAGAGCTGGCTTTAAAGAACTTGCTATTTTTCCAATATGGCAGGTAAACGAACTTCCTTTCATAGGATTGGAGTCTGCAGGACTTTCATCCATGTTTTCATGCGGTTCTCTAATCCAAGGTTTAGGCCACTGAGTACTTTTAGGCCATTTTGCTACCCGTATGTTGCCGTCCCTAATTAAAACTTGATGTTTCTTCGTAATCTTCTCCAACCTCGGAACGGTTACAAGGTAACCTAAAGCGTTAGGTGTCGGCGTGATCGGTCCATTGTTTACATTTCTTGACATCAAATTAATGTTCTGCAACGTTGTTGTCGGAACTGAACTAGTTGCGAGAAGCAGCACAAATATTGCTCCAAAAGTAATTCCGAATAGAATGGATAAAAAGTTTTTGAGTTTGGATGCTCCCGAAGAATAAACACGCATTTTGTATTAACACAGATAGCATAACTAAAAGATTGATGCCATTTATCAAAATTATGAAACACTAAAAAATTCATTAAAAACAGAAAATAATAAATCTGAGCTGTGGGTACCTTACTGAAATTGACCTCTTGCTCATCGAAAGCCATCATAGGCGATGAAAATTGTCTGACTGAGTTCTGGTATTGCCTGTACAATACGGCCCGTAACTTTCGTGATATATCCTTCGAGTAATTGTCTCAACCTCTTGGATGCCAAGCTCAACTTAAAATGTCAGCGGTCTACTTCATAGAAAAGGCTATGCGTGACGACTAAAAGCTGTGTTGTATACGCTCTCAATTACTTCCTGGACGCAACGCTTTCAGTAGGAAAAAAACATTAAACAGCAATTCAAGATAGCTCTAATGAATGAACAATGCTACACAGTACACACTCGAAAAATCAAACTGAAAAGCTCCATATTTCACAAACTGCCAACTGGCGATATCATTAGCCCCGGGGCAATTATCATTGCAATGCCAGACACAATGAACGACATCCTTTCATTGTTTGAAATTAGCAGCACCTGGAAAGGAACAAGTTTCTGAACTATCATGTGAGTCTTTAATAGTTTAATTCTTCATAAGTCTTGTTGTCGTCAAATTATATAGAAACAACACCTTTTATAGATGATATGACAACATCTTTAATAACAAATAGTTCTTTACAAATCCCTTTATATTGATATTCAGAAGCCTGTACTTATTCATTAAAATTAAGAAAAGCAGACTTAGTACAGTTGTATACTACAGCCAACTTACCTAATGAACTCTCAACAGACCGGCATTCAACGATAAGTTTTCGCAAGTACATATCTAGGTTCCGCACACACAGATGCCAAGGGTCTGTTGTCATTCGGAAGAACACCTGAAATATATTGTATTTTAATGTAACGTCGACAACAAACTTTACTTATCTATTTTTGATATTAAGTTTATGTATGTCGTACATGTAATATATTCTCGTTACGAAACTGATTTGGAAATATTGTATCAAGTTTTTTTTTCGTGAATTTTCAATGTTATACAGGCAAATATTTACTATTTGATTATCCGAATTAATTTCGTAATATTATTGCAAGAAATTTGTAAAGAACGTCATCAAAATTGCTTCATTCAATCAAAAGTGACTTGGTCGAATGCCATTACCTTCAACACCAGCGAGCGGTAAATATATATAAATTTATACAACATGCATGTTTGGCCAATAATCAGTAAGATCTTGCATTTATCCTGCACAATACATATACATCCTTGCTGCCAAGGATATTAATATTCTTATGCTGTAGAACAAAATTAATAAACCTATTAACAGTAATAGAATTTATTTTGGTATGATACAAATAAGTAAGTCAATGCATTGTAGATTGAAATTGCTGCTTTTCTCAAGAAAATATTGAATAAATTTAAAGATTAAATAATAAAAAATGAAAATGATATAAATAGGGCCACCAACAAGTACATCCATATTTAAAAGGATTGCAAGAGAAATGAAAATGCAACCAAAATATAATGAGATACCAAGTCAATGCCAAAATACCCCAATGTAGATATTTGCATCGTCGTTTACAAAATTTCAAGGAAATTATCCAAATTCTCATCTTGGTGAATATTTTGATTTGATGATGAATTGGTTTGGTAAATTTTTTGCGTATATAAATTTGCATCATATCATATAAACATGCCAAGAAATATTCTTGCAATTTTATAAAGATATTTTTCTTTCGCTCTTTAACATCGGAATCGGTTGATATAATTACTCAAGGTTAAATAATTTATGGAACAGGCATGTATGTATGATAAGTGAGCCATACATTTAATTGTATTCAATTTCTTATTTTTATTCAGGGGGCGGTATGATAAAAGAATGGAAAATTAATTGAGCAACCCCAAACAGTGATGGGCATGATATGATGTGGAATCGCGATGAGGCAGTTGAGTTTAGGCATCTGTAGATGAAGTATAAACTAAAACGAGAAACAAAATGAGGTTTAAATTAGAAACAACTTGTAGTAAACAACATTTTATATTCTGAAGGTTTGAATTGATTTTTTGAGGTTTAAAGTCTATGAAGATTATTTTGACTTTGAGATTTAGTTGTGGTGTTTTAACGTAATGCATATTTTCTAAAAAGTAGGGTATATGTAACGATTTAATGTGCGTTCAGACGTTGCTTTATATATATGGTAAAGTTTCACAAATTTCGCAAAAACACTTTATGTATATATATTGAGGTTTCATCGACCATCATTTTGAGAAGTGAGTATTCTATGAACATAACATTCGAACACTGGTCCCATTGACAATCGTGGTCTGATATTACTGTAAATATTTCTTTATGCATATACCTTTACAATGTCCAAGCAATTTTACATATATAACCTTTTGTTCAATGACATGTTGATTGAATAGAGAAGTAAACTATCCAAAATTGAATTGCATACCATTTGGAAGTTAGCGCACAACACAATCAAATTTTGCAAAGGGCCGATTGAAATATATCAGCATACAATAATTGTTCCCTGCCATTTGGGTGTATGAATTGATTCTTAAGTACTGCAGCAGCATCCCACATGCTTAAAAAAGTAACGTTCTTCATTTCGCTGAATTCATTTCGTAAAATTACTTCAAAACGATAACTTAACCAGTCACTTGGTATGACAGGCTTGGTTTCAGTATGAGTGTGAAACCCTTTGACGAATATTCGAATGCCTGGAATTCTTTTCAGGATATGAAGGAAACCCGTCTTAATAACTCTAATTCTACGAATTAGTATTCTGGGCGAGAAAACTTGGAAGTGAAATCCTATGGTGAAAAGTATTACAATTTTATTGCCGGTACTTTGAATTTTGTCAAGTGTATCAGTGATATACGGTCGGGTAATTGGTGGGCCTGGATTTCTTAAAGGTGGGCCGTGCGAATTATAATATAATGTTATGTTATGTAGTTTGTTAATTGCTATTCTGGAGCAAGACCATGATCCTTTTATCTTGTCAAGAATTTCTTCCGCCCTAAACTTTTTTCGATAAAATTCATACCAAAGTCTTATTGTTGAATCCCCAACAAAATACACTGATGTGTTTGTTAAACACTTTATCATGGATTGTGTGTGGTATTGGGAATTGTAACAAGTCAGTGACTTCCATTTAGTCTTCTCAATAAATCCAGTTGGCGCACTTGGATTCAGGCTGCTCTCATACTCTTTATCACAACGTCCTTTTCTTTCTTTTTTCATCAAGTTCTTGCTATCATCAACTAAAATCTGCCTATTGCCATTATGAATACGAATATTCCAATTTCGGTGGGGATCATAGAACGAGTTATTCTCTACATCTGGGATTATATTCACTTCCCTCTTGTCATTGACTTGCCAAACCATTTCATTACATTCACCCGAAGGCGGTTTAACGCAATACCAAGGTTCTCCATTTTTAGCATTGGAATAGTTGCATAGTTGATTGATGCTGTGAAATAAAAAAAAAAAATTTATGTAATTTTGAATAAAAAATGAATACTACTGATAATAAATCGAAAATCTGCATAAAATTTTGTAAATACTGACGTTGAGCGCATAAAGATTCGGTAATTTCTATTGGAAATAATGTATTAATGTAATGTAATGATTTTTAAACGAAATATTTTTTGTCTTGCTATATGAACCTGTCGCAACGTATATTATTTATCTAAGAATTTTAAGAGGTGATTCGCATATATATATTTATATATATATATTATATACTCGTTATTTGTTATTCTCAAACATAGATCGACATAAAATTGAAATACCTGTATTCGTTTCCAAATTCCATTGCACAGATAGATGATTCATTTTGGCCGTTGGAGTCAACGAAATTAGTTTTGTATCTCACGCCACCAGTTGTATCTGTTGTGTTTCGCATCAGAAAAAGCACGCTCTCGCTCGGATGCATCAAATGGACATGAAGGTTGGACTTTCCCGGCCACAACAAGAGACATTGAATTAAATATACACCGTTCATTTGGTCATCAATCGCGCATGATATTCCGTCTTTGGCCTTGCCTTCGGGGCGTAAAACGGCTCTGAAGTAATCGCCACCATACGGCTTTTGAATACCTTCATAGTCCTTTGCTACTAGTGTGACCTTTAAAATATCACCTAGAAAATAGTTGTCGCTTTGAAATAAAAGTTCAGTTGTATTTGCACAAGTGCTTCTCTGAAACTTAACAAGTCTTTCTTCGCTTATAGAGAACTCCAAAGAAGTTAACTCTGGGAATAAATCAATCCAAGTTGAAGGTTTGGTTGCTTCCACGCCACCATTCATGTTGGTCTTGTATGTGTCAATGGATAAGATATCATTTCTGAATCGTGAATTGAATACCGATATGGGATGAACGCGATATCGATTTAGTGAATACACTACCATACACGCGATAAGAAATATCAAATAATATTTGAAAATTTGTTTCACGGGCATTGCAAAAACTAATTTTATTTACTATGTCATGAAAAAAAAAATGAAAAAATGTATTGTAAGTAAAGTGGAAATGGTAATATTTAGGAGTTCGTAACAAATAGAGACGTATTTGTGTATGCGAATATACTACAAAAAAATATATAACTTAAGTGATTCAAGAGTCTTGCTGCACACTAACACAAATATATTTCTGTAACGTTTCGTCTGACCAAGGTCAGACTTCTTCAGACATACATAGTTCAACTACAACAAGAAAAGCGGTTACATACATATTTAATCAATCAGTATAGGAGTATGGGAGTTACGGATGTTAAATAATCAATAAAATCAGTGAATTCTTGATTAAATAACAGCGGGTGACTGAAATGAGATGACATTGATGAGATCTCTCTCTTTGTTTTATATTAAACAATTGAAGTCCAAATTAAACAATGGTCTTATGTGATTCAAGAGTTTTGCTGCACACTAACACAAATATATTTCTGTAACGACGAAACGTTACGGAAATATATTTGTGTTAGTGTGCAGCAAGACTCTTGAATTACTTAGGATATTTATCTTTACTCTTGCTACAGCATCCTTGCATTATATGCATACGGATCCGCCGACACAAAAGAATAGAAGAAGGATAAGTAGTTAGTCTCGCAGAAACCAAATCATTAAACAATGGTGTTTCGTGTTTCTCAGCATTGAATGATGCTGACCAGAAAAGTCGTCCTTGAGTCAGTTATAATATATTTATTGTTTGTCTGTTGACGACATATCTGGCATGCATGATTCAACCTTGAAAATAACATTAAGTACAAAGGATGAGTTACACAATGAATGAAAGATTAGTAATTGCTTTAAACTTGCTTAATATTCATCCCCTGTGGCTCATGTGTTCCGAAGCGATGAATAAGATAAGATTCTTTGTTTTTGCTATAAATGTGGTTGTGGAATAGTTTTTCAATGCCAATGATAAGTGAATGTCCCGGTTGGCTGAAATGGGCACCTTTAACTAAATCTTTTTTTGGGGTTTTAATACTTCTGGTATTTTCAGTTATTCTATATTTTAGATGTCTTCCCGTTTCTCCTATGTATTGCATGCCACACTTTTTGCAGCTTATTAGGTAGATGACATTCTCCGAGTTGCGAGTAATTTTCTGATTAATTTTCATTTCTACGTCCTTGTGTCTGCTTGTTGCAATTTTTTTTTCTTCGGAATGTTGGCAAGTGCTGCATGACTTCCTGCCACATTTGAAAAATCCAGGATTTTTTTTGACTGGTGTTTCTGATTTCAATCTTTCTCTGACTAATCTGTCTCTTACGATAAGATAGGGCACTCACGATAAGATAGTCTTGGGGAAAATTTCTTTTAGTCTCTCGTTGTTGTTCAGAATATATTGGTAATCTGAAAAGATTTTTCGGATATTTGGTTGGGTTGGGTGATAACTTGTGATGAACGGTAGCAAGGTTTCTTTTTTACTTTCAGTTTTTGGGGTTAAAAGTAGTTTTCTGTCAAGTTCTTTTGCATATTGTATCGCGTCGTCAATTAAATTTTTTTTGTATTTTCTTGTCGTGAGGAATGTTTTCATGATCCTTGCATGTTTATTAAAGAATTCATTGGTTGAAGAGGCTCTTCTTATTCTGATGAATAGGCTTTTTGGAATATTTTTCGTGTCATGTCTATGATGGCAAGAAGACGGCGAAAGGTACTGATGGGAGTCGGTTTCTTTGCTGAAAATTTCAGTTTCCAACTTGTCGTTAATTATATGAACTTTAACATCCAAAAACGTAATGCAGTTTGGTGAGCATTCAATTGTAAATTTGATGGTTGGATGTAAAGAATTCGCTAAGTGATAAATTCCGATAATCTTTCTCTACCATGTTTCCATATGAGAAAACAGTCATCAATGAAGCGGCAATAGTATTGTGGTTTGAAAGAGGTTTTGTCCAATAGTTCAGATTCTAGGTTTGCCATGAAAATGTTTGCATATTTGGATGCAAATTTTGTTCCCATTGCCGTTCCTTGAATTTGGAGGTAATGTTTCTCGTCAAAAATGAAGTTGTTGTTTGTAAGGACTAAGTTAGCTGCTTTTGCTATCCAAGGGATTTCTTGTTTTTCTTTATTGAATCTGTGCAGGTATTTTTCCATTGCTTTTATGCCATTTTTACTCTTGATACAGCATCCTTGCATTATATGCATACCGATCCGCCGGCACAAAAGCATAGAAGAAGGATAAGTAGTTAGTCTCGCAGAAACCAAATCATTAGCAAAAATATATATGGTGGCATTGATGTCCGTATACGAGTATTTCACGTTCTAGAACTAGAAGTATTTGACTCTGACGCTCCCTAAAATTGAAAATGACTTTAACGAAAGCACAGTTTGCATAACTAAATAATTAATATCATTCGTAAAATGATTCGTTATTTAAATAGAAATACATCAAAACAACCAAAACTCCCGTAAACGTCAACTCGAGTTAAATCTTGCATTTTTGTAATTCTTTAGAACTCTTACGTGACGTAGCGGTTATAAAGTTATTGTTATGATTGTTGATTAACACATTGAATCATTAACACACGTACTCATGGGCTTGTCCACTAGGTCGCAAGAGACTATTCGTTTTTTTTACTTTGGGTAAAACCGCATGTTCTCACTTGCGTTCTTCCGTATATACTTTGTCGCGTTATGCTAATTGCGCTGTCAGCAGTTCTGGATCGCCCAACATGGACTTATAATTGTTTCGTGTTCTATTAGGCGTACAAATTATTTGTTTTCTTACTGTTTAGAAAACTATTGGTACTACATTTGTTTATATCCGAGTGACACTACAATTACCGGCTTTTTCGTACCTCACCAACTCTTTCGCGAGTGTTATTGTGTTCGACCTGATTTTGCGATCCCTGAGCGACTGTAACAAGATTTTCAAGCCCTAATACATTTCGAGTGTATCCAGTCAAATAGACTGTTGTTTATGGGGATTTGGAGAACACCTCCCGTCAGAGCATGATAAAGAAAAAACACGTCCACAAGGTAATTTTAAGTATCAACATCTGTGGCACACTGTGATTCAAGTGGACACCTTTTTAAAGTTGGCACAGCTTGACAGTTATATTCGAAATATGTGCCATAAAATTCCAGTTAATTACTGCCGAATTACAATTTTAAGGATATATCAACATCTGTGGCACACTGTAATCCAAGTGGACACCATTTTAGAGTTGGCACAGCGTGACAGTTATATTCGAAATATGTGCCATAAAATTTCAATTGATTACTGCCGAATTACAAAAATAATGAGCAAGAATTCTTAAACGTGGCTCTCATCTGTAAAAGGTCACTTTAAAAAAACTCCCGGAAGCTCATATTTAATTTTTCTCGAAATAGTAACAATAAATTCTTGTCAAACTAGTTCATTAAATTGCCAAAACCGGTTGTACAACGGTCAACTATTTGGGGATTAAATGAAGCTATCGAGCAACTGTCGTTGTCGCAAAGCGTAACAATCATCTTAATCCGAACACCTTTCTATAGCTGGTCTCAATAAAACAAAACTAAAACACCTAAAACAGTAGGTTACCGTATCGATCACTCACAAAATTATTCATTCGTAACCACATTCGAAATAGGAAAGTAAAGGTACAGACAGTCTTCAAAAAAAAAGCTCGTTATTATTAGCCCAGGGCAATATGACAATTTGTTACACCGAGTGTGAATATTAGAGTGGTACGTATTTTCAGCGCCGGATTACCGTTAAACAATATAATCACGTGCTTGGGGCACCAAGCAAAGAGGGGCACCACAGAAATTTTAGAGCAGAATTTTATATAGTTTATCGGTGTTTATTAAAATATTTCGATTTCACCAGACCACTCAAACTTCAAAATATTTGCTTATTTTTTGTCTTCAAGTATCATATTGACCTTCTTTATTAGAAAATAAACACTGAAACTTTTTTTTTGACACGAAATGGGCCTAGGAGTCGTTTTAATAAATTGTTGTTGTTTTTTCTTTCTAGTATTCTCCTTGTTGCTTCATTTTTGTTTTAAAAAAATTCTTTTATCTTCAACAATTGGACCAATGACATAAGGAAAAACACGGCGGAAACGTATTTCCTTGCCCATCACACAGTGTCTGGTTTGATTTCAAGTAATATCTGTCACGAAAGAATATAATCTGAAGCGACATTAAACGCGAGATGCACAAAATACGCCGGTAATTTTCGGGAATTAACTTAATTAAATTAAACGAGAATATCGGTCAGAGATCGAAGACTTATCGATCGAAAGTTAGGGATCCACAAAACAGCGCTTTTACTCCATAGTGACACCTTGTGTCTCATCACTAATTGATTAATAACTCTCTAATTAACGACATAATTCATCCAAAATCAATAGGCTTCTGGTCTGACAAATCTGGAGCAGATTCGATCTTGCTTTCGTGAGATATCGCGTGCATCTAACAGACAGGCAAACAGACAGACAGACAGGCAGACAGACAAATACCTATCAACATCCTTACCGATTAAAATCGATAAGTAATAACGGTATGTTAGTCGTTAGTAATAACTGAAGGCTTTATATATCTTCTTTACAAGAACACCACCCATGCAACATAATAATAGTCTGATTAGAACGGTAGACTCTCGTTGTTTTTTAAATTTAAAGTAAGTAAACTCGCGATATTTCGATCACTTTTGAGTTTTCTCCGACTTGCGGCCCGCGAGACCTCCTCAAAAGTTGTTGTGGTCCTTCAACCTAGCAACCTTAAACCACCCTGAGGTAGACTACGAGGTGGTCCGGTACGGTAAAATTTCAAAGTACAGTTGTGACTTGTATCCTTTGTATTTCGATTGACGTTGAGACTGGAGGCATGCATCTTTATTGTCACACTCCCTCAGGATTAGAGATCAACCGATATATTGGCCCGATATTGCGTGTTTGTATACTTGTATCCTTTGTATTTCGATTGACGTTGAGACTGGAGGCATGCATCTTTATTGTCACACTCCCTCAGGATTAGAGATCAACCGATATATTGGCCCGATATTGCGTGTTTGCCGATATATAATATAGAGTCTCATGTCCTGATGAAGTTTTTCTGAATAGAAATTCGAAACGTCCGCAAATTACATCGTTTTGATTATAGACAGTAAACGACAGTTAAAAAATCTAAAAATGTTCGTGAAAGTTGTTTTATTTACCGTTGGTTGTGATTATTTTTAATGGATAATACACTTATGTGGTTTATTGTTTTTATAATTAAATTACACATGAGGGTGCACCAAAGTCTTCAGTGCTTAGGGCACCAAAGGGCTTAATCCCGTACCTGCGTATGTTATGAATCGTATGCGTTCATTCGGTCTGATTTTAGAAGTGATTGCCGTTGTCAAATTATACCATCGCTTTTCTAGTACAGCATTTTGGAATAGTTCGGTAGTTGCACGCTATTGTATTTGTAGCGAGTACCTAAATGTTACTGCGGACAAAAAATACTCTTTGTTCCTTGCGAGAAACTCCGCACCTTTCGTGAGTAATTTAGTCACTTCTTCACTGGTTGACTCTCACTATATCTAATTTATGTCTTTTGAATTGGGTTCACTCAGCAAGGATAATATATTCTAACTTTTTTTTCGATGTTTGTTTAACGTCAAGGCTGCTTTTCAACTCGGCAAACAAGATGTCGCTGATGACTTTGGTAATCTTTCGCGGTCCCTTGTCAATTGCGGAAATACTGTATATTTTGAGTATTTATTATTATAATTCTTTACCTGTGTCGTTACAATATTTCATGCACGACGAAATAAAATATCTGGGCAACCTTTTGTCGCTCGCGGGCCAAAATTAAGGTTGCAAGTCATTGGCGGGCCGCATATATTTTTAGAAAGTTGAAAAACCGAACGGATGGTACCTTTTATAATAATAATTAAGCAGTGATAGATCTCTCGAATAGAATATAGATTTATTTCCTCATTGCATTTCATAAAATTTCATTTGAATATTTTCAGCGCCATTGAACCCTTTTGCAATTAACATCAACTTTTCTGCGTTTTGTTGCCATTTGCTTAATTATATTTAAATTATATGCTCATTAAACGAGTAATTGTGTATTTTATAATTGTTAGGTTATAATATAATTTAGTCTAAAGAATATATTTGTCAAAACGGATGTTTTGTTACTATAATTTGTTAAAACCGGCCCGCGGGCCGTAGGTTGCCGACCCCTGATCTAAGGGATTAGATAATGTTTCGCTTAGTGAACAAGCAAAGCTAAAAAGAAAACAACGAACATGAAAATCCAAAAACTAGTTTTAAGCGTTGCTTCTTGTGTGGCAAAACATTGCAGTTTTCAAAAAATTCTATATTACTTATTAATAACTTATTATTCCACTTTTCGGCTCATATGTACATCGGAGACGAATAGTATAGTTCTAGCGACAATCATGACTAGGGTCAGCTGCTCGATATAAGAAGGCTGACTGGTTGATGCTTCTACGGCTTTTGGCAGTTGTCCATCGTCCTGCCGTGGAACGAACGCGACTTTCTTATCGGAAATATCCAATATACCGGTGTCCTCGTCCACGCCGATATTTCATCAATAATAATTGACGCACAACTGCCTAGGACAGTGATTCTCAAACAACGGGCACGCCCTCACGGGGCACGTAGACAACTTTTCGATGGGGCGCAAAGCTAATTAAAAGTTGTTAGATTTGATTTTGCCCGCCTTATTTTGGGTATTTGCATCTCCAAACTTTTCATTTATTTCATTATTTACGTTCTATTCACGTATTTTCAACTCAGTATTTGTTATTCGTAGATTTTTGTTTATTATTTTACTAGTCGAAAAAAATAAACCTGACTATGTTAGCCAGTTATGTTTGAGGTGGGGCGCGAGACATGACAACCTCCAAAAATAGGGCGCGACATAGGTTTGAGAACCACTGGCCTACGATTATTTCAAAGCTGGGTGGTTATATCATGCACGATCATTTTATAGGTATAGTCTATAGATAGATGAACGAGCAAAATATTCGATTTACCATGGCATATAGGAATAGAAAGGAAGACGAGACCCCATGAGTGCAACTTCGTGATGGACGCATCGAAAATGTCGAAAAGGCAAATCTTGTGGTTTTAACATCAGCATGTCAAATATATATATGTCGGAAAAATTTTCTCAGGAAGGTGCTGGTTTTCAGATTTGTATTTCATGTGCATATGGGCGCAATCTATGATTAGAAATTGACTAAATTCATGTTTGTTTCTGACCCAAGAAATGCCGCAAGCCCGAGAAACGACAAGAATGAAATGCGTAATTTAACGATATGCATGGTATCTATATATATATACATGGGCTATACGAAGAAATGCGGAAGATCATATACAAATTTGAAACGCTTCAAGTTCATGTTATGAAAATTTGAATGCCAAACTGATATAATATTTATTTAGTTTGCGCCGTTTCAGATTCGTGCTGTTTTTACTTTGCTAATTGCGAGTCACCGCAAGTCCACGTTATATGATATAGATAGGGCGAGTGCCAGTCGAGAATCCCCAAGAGATTTCGCATAAGATCTGCTCATTTATTTATTACTTACTGCTCGCATTTTCATTTTTGTACTCGAATGTTATCCTCTCAATTTAAAGTTTACCAATCCTATGCCATTGAAATTCCACATTTCAATTAGGAAAAACTGCAAAATGACCCAATGTCTTTTATAAACTGCACTATATCTTCCCAGGTTTTAGTTTATTACTTCATAGGAAAAGCATCCGCCTAGAATCGTATGGAGGAAGGCCAAAATTGCTTGCTTTACAGATTCCCTTGAAAATTTTTGTTGGTTGCTCAGAATTCGAAGTAAACTATATACCGGTACATAAGACCACTGATTCGATGAGAATCTTTTGTACTCTATTTGTTAATTAGTTTTGTGGACTTTTCATACGTCCAATAGGAACAACTATGGTATACAGAACGATATAGCAAAACGATCGATAGTACACTTCCAATGAATACCATTTCACAAGATAAATAAACTGGACTAGAGGCATAATACATGGATTTCCATTGCATTTTTTCTTGATACAGTAAGATGAACCAGTAAAGAATATGACTAATTCTTCCTGACGTCAGCGCTTTTCATATTATGAAAGCAGATCTTCTCACAAAGAGTAATAAATAAAACATTTTCACTGGTTTATCCAGGATTTTAATCTCCGCAATCAATACTTTAACATAGCTCTGCGAAAATATTAAGGTCAGACATTGGTTAATTGCTATTAGAACCTTTCCACCTTAATAGCAGCCTCTTGATACTCTAAATCAGTTCTAGATGGATAGACAACTTTTAATTTTCCTTGTGAATCCATGATTTTTACTTGCTGTACAATGAGCTTTGTTGGATCGGTACTATTTTTAACTTCTTCTTCATCACTAGAATCATCATAAAAGTCTTGATTCTATAAAAAGATCATCAAGTTATAAGAATTATGAATACAAGCAATATTTCATAGCAATCTTAGACAAGTTTACATGTTTTTATTAATTTCTTTGAGGTAAACCTATATTTTGAATTCAAACATTACCTACCGGTACTAACAATTCCAGTCAACAAAGCTACCTGAAATGATCCAAGTCCATGCTTCCGAAAACAAATAACTCCCGTATCCGACATGGAATGGTAACCGGGCGAGAGGCTGTGGTTCGCCATATGGTCAAGCGGTCTTATCGGCTTTCCTCTCCCCCGGGATAAACATGTAAATCCTATCCTATACAGTATCACTAATATACAAGAGCTGAATTATTATACCTTTGCAGAAGTCATTCCTTCATTTAGCATTGAATGAAGCAATTTATCCATGATTGTTTTACATGAACTCAAACTCTGAGATCCTGTGACCTGAACATAAGATTTTAATTCTTTATACTTTTACAATAACAATAAGGTATAATTATAAATCTTTTAAATATGATATATTAAAAAATTAATTTTTCCATCAACCTAATTGAATATTACAATGTGCTGAAGAGAAGTTAAATTGTCGCGATAATAGTTAGAGAGATAGTCAGTGTGCTGTTTACTCACACAAATTGTATGCCTACATATGCTTTGCTGAAAACATTCAACAAGCTTAGGAATTGAAAACACTACAGAAATCTTTCAGCTACATGAATGACTATAGCCTTATTCTTTTTAATAAAATTGAATTTGTACTGGAAAATTCTGCAGCTTTTCTACAAACGATTGTGATATGAAATAAAATACTTTGTGAGGATGAAACTGGACAACAGAGTTGTAAATAATAGAGATAGTTATGAAACGAAGAATATAGGCAATAAGCTATTGACACAAGACATGAAGTTAAAACATACCTCTAACAACACATCACCTTTACCCATTTTGATCTTAGAAATTTCACTGTTGGTGAGTGGAGGCAGAGATATAACTACATCATCTGAAGTTCTACTCAGAAAAGCAAACTTTTCCTGATTCTCCAACAAAGATAAATATCTGACAAAATACAAAATTAAAATCAAACATTTATATTTTAATTACATTACTCCAAACCACGAGTGAGCAAAGTTTTTTTGAAAAGTCACTATAAAAAAAACTGTCTTGCAAAGGCTGCATGTGACATCACATATCCTATTACTATAATAGTGTCAAATTTAATGGTGGATGACTATGTTGAACCGGAGATAATTTGTTATAACAATTCATAGTTTAGATAATTTAAATGAGGTTTATATTTTGAATTAGGTTCATAAAAAAGACTTCTAAAATTTAAGTTTCAACAAAGCATAAAACATAACAAAATGCTTTGATGAAAATTGATCCAATTTGTGCAAGCCAATAAGATTTGCAGAATATTATTCTCACTTATAAATTCCAGATATTTGGCTTCGTTTCTTTTCTTTCTTCATTTCATCAGCTTCTGCCCTCAGTTGTTTATAAAGTTGTAAACCAGACACTTGTTCTCCTCTACCTAATGGCTGGATCTGGAAACAAGAAGGATTTTACACAAAAACCTACGAATGTAATTCATTTGTTTGATTCAGAAAACAGCGTGTCTGGGGATATTCCACATGAAATGAAGGAGGCTTGAATTGTGACATTTTGTTGGATCTGAAGTCAGAACCAAGCTTACAAACATAGATCGAGCTGGAGCTACCAGAAACTTTAGTTGTTCCAGCTCCTATCCTTCCATTTATTTTTTCACATTTATAATTTTCTAATACTTCACACAAATTAAAAGGCCTAGCCTTTTTAGTATCAGTATCAGTAGTTTATTTTTACACATGCCGAAAATACACATTGTACAATTAGAATAGAGAAAAAATGCATTTTAGTGTGAAGAAAGACGCATTATATTTATTAGCTTATATTTTTTATAATATTGATTTTTAAAATTAATGTATTTGAGATCAATATTTAAATTTTTCTTGTGTGGTATTTATTGAGCAGCGAAAACACAAATATGACATATGTTTGAACTGATATTAGCCATGATAAATATTTCATGTGTCTTCAAATCATGATTCAATATTTAAAAAAAAAAGAATTGCTATTGTCAAGCTGACAAAACCTGGATTCCCCCCCCTAACATTCATGTCATAAAAAGTGATTTATTTAATCTTGCGACAATGTTCTTTCGCCGAAGACGTACACAAAAGATGCTATAGGTTATTTCCAGCAACATATGAATTTCTAAAAAAAAAAAATAATTTTAGTTAAAATACAACCTCAAATGTATCAGGTTCTTTAGCATCATATTTAAGACTTGAACAAGCCAGAGATGATACATCATGAGAAGCAATTGTTCCAATGGTTCTCTTTCCACACACTTCATCATGTAGTTTAGTCTGCAATAGATAAGGAAAATAAAAGTATTGTCAAGCATCTTACATTGAAGTGGAACCAGTTAACACTGATAATTAGTTATCATATCTAATGCTTCTCATCAAAACTGGATACAAAAATTAAATTGTAATGATATTAAGAACAATTACTGTCAAACATCCAATTGACAGGATTTTTGGTTTTTATTCTGGTTTTATAATATGCAATGCACCAATGTATTTCAAAAGAAAAGTTAAGTTCCGAATATAACAGTTTTTTTCCTGAATTTTCACCTTTTCAGGTTGAATCCCTTGCTGCTATATATTTCATAGACCTGACAAGCCAGCTTAAACATATCAGTATCACAAAGCAAAAGCCGTTCATTCATTTAAAAAACAATGTTTGTGATTATTGTGAAAAGCTAGTCAGCACTAATAGTTTCGACGCATGAACACATGGCTGGTGGATGAAACCATTGTGACAAGTATTAGAAGCAAACACTTACAACCTAATACCATAATCTTTAGCGATAATTTTCAATAAACATAATTAGATCTCACCTGTATAGCAATGAATTTTTTGAAAACACCTTCTTTTGACAAGTTTAATCTTTTAACGACACAGCAAACAATATAAGGTCGAACATCTTTTATCTCATCAGATACAGTTATCTCAAGTGGTTTCGTTTCTGAAATCATAACATTACGACATATGTAGCATAGCATGTTATTATAACAAAATAGATCGAGTCAGCTTTTACTTGCTTTGATAGAAATAGTATACAGAGACTTGACACAAAAACTGTTAACACACTCACCCTTTTTTACTTCTCCGAACTTTAAAACTTGAATAATGTGTTTAATTAATTCTTCTTCAACATCAACTTTTGCATTTTTTCCCTTTTTCTTCTTTTTACCACCAGACTTGTTACCAGTTCCCACTGATCCATTTTCACCTCTAAAAACGAACAAATAATTCTTCAGTATAAACTAAATTCAAAAAAAGTTATCCAATCACGAATGATTCATTCCTAAAAGTGAAAAATTGTTTAATATTGTTATTTGCAATTTTTTGTCGTATTTTGTAGGATTTCAACTCATCAAATTGCATAAATTGATAAAAAATAAGGTTAATTTCAAATACAAACAATCTTTGTCATTACCCAGCAGGTCTCCCTTTTGTTCTTATATAATCCATAATTGCTTTTTGGGAACTGTTATTTTGTTCAATAAGTTTTTTGAGTCTCCGATCCTTGAGTGGATTGTCTTTATAATCTGCAGATTTCAACTTGAAACAATTTGCCAGAGTTTGGGGAAGCTCCTTAATCTTGTTCACTGACAAATCTAATGTTTTCAATGCTTCTAATGTTCCAATACCATCATTCACATCCTCAATTTGATTGTGGGAAGCTTTGAGATCGGCCAAATGTTTTTGATTTCCTTCAATAAGTGCTTGTGGAATTTCAGTGAATTTATTATTAGAAATATTGAGAGTTGAGAGCAGTGAGAGATTTTTTACGCTTTCTGGTAATTGAGACAATTTATTACAATTTAAATTTAAGGTTTGAAGATTCCTGATGTTTCCAAATTCATCTGGAAGTTCTTCAAGTGCATTATAAGAAATATCAAGAACTTTTAATTGCTTCAATGTACATATCTCATCTGGAAGAGACACCAAGTTGTTACCATTTATAATCAATTGCATTAAAGCTGACAGTGAACTTATATCTTTCGACAAACTTGTGATTCCACATTCTGAAACTTCCAGAAAATTCAGCAGTGTCAAAGAATATAGATCCTCGGGAAGAACATTGTCATTCTTTTCTATCTTCAATCTTGTATCCGGTGTTCCTTTAATGACCAATTCTCTCCTCTTCTCTTCCTTACATTGAGCAATTTCAGGCCAATCGGACATTGAAATTTGCTACTTTTCAAGTTGGACAAAATAAATTAACAATCTGTTTAAGAAAAAGTGATAAAGTGAATTATTAAGCACAAAAATGCAGTGAGATTTTTTCTTTGTAGTGAGAAAAGGCATATATGACGAAAAATAAATGCAGGAATCACCAATGTTATAAATAGCCCATTGTATATTCATCCCATATATGGGCAAGAACATGGAATGCTTATATTTGATACTGTATTCCAGAGTACTGACGACTATGAAATTTCATCTTCTCATTTCAAATATTAATTTGTTATTTATAATTCATATTTTTGAGCAGCTTTATCATCAAAAATCCCTTAAACAAAACCATTCAAATGTCTCCAGCAAGAACCAAAACAGAACATTATTGATGAAAATGGAATACGCTGAAAAATTAGTTTTGAATCATGAACAAATAAATAACGATTTCAGGTATGCGACCAGGTTAATCGTTGGACATGATCAGTCTTTCGTTTTGTAGGTTTGATAAAACCTAGGAATTGTAATTCTGACGCAGCTCTGATAAATCGAGCCTGAGTAAATTTGTTGATTTCTTCATTTTGATTGTTTTCTTTATCACTATGTGGATTATTGTCGCCAGAATTTACAATTGTATGAAATGCTTCCAACCAATCATATAAATTTATAATTTTCCCACATTCATTATGCAATTTGTATGCAATGGAGACATCCGGTGCAGAAGGTGGAATAACACCATCAGTAGCATCCAAGCAAGGCTGTTGTAAATAACAATTGGGATCTGACAATGCTGTTTGAATTGCAAGTCGTGGTGCTGCTATCATATGCCGTTTTATAGTTGATGTAGAATCAAAATAAAAAATTTCATGAAACGGAAATGATCTTGGAGGAAGTAATATTTTTGTAAACAAGACATCCAAAATTTCAAGTGCTTTGATCCTCAGTTTCTCAAACGTGGACATTTTTTTAACTTTCTTTTCATGTGCCTTTTTCTTCAAATTTTCTTTCAGCTGATAAGCATATTTCACTTTTTCAAGGGGTTCATCCTCCTTTTGTTCTTCAATATTCTCATCTTCTTCATTTTGAGGCAAGTCTTCTTCTTTTTGATCTTCAGGATGTAGTAATTCATTAATAACTGAATTTATTTCTGACTTTGCATCAATAACCATGGCAAAAATGTTTGAATTTGGTCTTGCATTCTGTGGCATATCATCCAGTTCTTTAACACAAGACTGTAATCTTTGAATCAGTTGATCCCTTGAAGATACTCGCAAGAACATCTTTGCTTGTTTGTATTCATCCGAATTAACGATAGGCCCATGATCGCATGCGCAATACAGCTCTCGTAAATGACGTCCCAGTGGATGACGTGGAAGTGATTTACAAAGAGAAAACAATGAACGCATCACAGGATAAAAGCAGTGATGAAATTCATGAATATCCTCCAACATTTTTTTCACTAAAATTTTAAAATCTTCATCAGAACTTTGCAAAAGTTCTTTTCGTTTTGTTGTTAAAGATTTGAAATAAGTTTTAACAGACGGTAAATCACGAAGTTTTTGTAGAAGTGAACCAGACAATTTTTCATGATACTTGTTAGCTTCTGCGATATTGTTTGTGCAAAATAACGAAGTTGGCTGCTCATAAAAATGGTTAAGCACACAAAATTTCAGAATGTGCAAAAAAGTTGTTACAGAAAAATCGTGGCACAGGAAAACATCAAGTAATAACTGCATGCATTTCCCACTTAATTTAAATGAATAACCAGAAGTGAGTAAAATGTTGTCAATAATCATAGCAAGATGTTTTGATGCTGTAGGAGAATGAAATTTTTCGAGACAAAGATGCACAGTGGCTGAATGGGGCAGTTGGCGATCAATCACACTTGTCCATGAAGTCGCAACCCCAAATATGAATATAATTGGAAAAGTATCAACAGTTGTACTAAACATTGCAATTAAATCTTGTAATAAATATGGAAGAAAGGATTCCATATCTCGCAGCATAATTACAATGGGAGGTGTGTTTGATGACAAACTCTTCTTGCTTTGTTTTCTTTTCTTACTTTCTAAGGAATGATCAGCTTGCGAAAACCATTTTTCAAGTAGGGGCATTGTTAATGGTGCTGATCTTTTCCAAATAAAATTATTTGATTTGTCAGTTTCAAGATCCCCAGTATCTTCAACAGAAACATTGTGCAGATCTTCGGCTTCTCCTAATATGAGCTGCTGCCCAATGCAACGCATTAAACTTTTCATATTCAAACAACTTTTGGAGCATAAAACTGCAACATGTGGAGTGATTGTTTTCGAAACTTCCTCTGATAACTGGTGAAAAAATCCAGCATGATCTGGCATATTAACACCAGTAATAAGAGCAGCAGCTGGGATTTCAGCTCTTTTTCCTCCAACTTCACGATTAGAGCTATGAGAATTTTTTAAAAAATCCATCAAATCAGATAGTATGTTTGCAGTAAGATCTAGATGTAAATTCCTAATTTTACATTCCATATCTATCCATACTTTTTGCGAAAGTTCCCATCGAGTTTTGCTTGACTCTGAACACGAAAAGTACTTTCCTGCATTTATATCTTGAATTGTTTTCTTCTTTTTTTTGGCTGGTAACACGAAACATCCCTTCGACACAGAAGTTAAACTTTTGTTATTCATAATAAATAATAATTAACTAGCCTAAATCCACAAAAAGAAGTTGTTTTATGTCCTGTTCGGGCAGACAATCAATCCTTTCTGTTTCAGTCATTTACCAATCCCTGCATCCACGCTGAGTTTCAGAGTAACATGCCAAAAAAGGGGCTTCCCCATCGAATATACTTTACACTGCTTTATACCAGGGGTCGGCCGGCAACCTTTTGTCGCTCGCGGGCCAAAATTAAGGGTTGTACGGTAAGTCATTGGCGGGCCGCACATATTTTCAGAAAGTTGATAACCGAACGGATGATACGTTTTATAATAAAAATCAAGCAGTGATACATCTCTCGAAGAGAATATAGATTTATTTTCTCATTGCATTGCATCTCAAAATATTCCATTTCAATATTCGGCACCATTGAACCCTTTGCAGTTAGCATCAACTTTTCTGCGTTTTGTTGCAATTCGTCTAATTATATTAAATTATATTCTCATTAAGCGAGTTATTGTGAATTTTATACTTGTTAGAATATAATATATTTTGGTCTAAACGTGACTCACAATAAATTCTGTTACGTAAAGAATATAATCGCCAAAACAGCTGTTTTGTTACTATAGTTCAGTAAAGCGTCGCGGGCCGGATTATATTACTCCGCGGGCCGGATTATATTACTCCGCGGGCCGGATCCGGTCCGCGGGCCGTAGGTTGCCGACCCCTGCTCTACACATTCACGCGTTAAAAGGGGCCAGGGAGAGAGGGAGAGCAAAGTCAACAAATTGGATTTTATTATAATTTTGGGAAATGGGAAAGTCTTTGATATGCTTAGAAGATGTGATACACCAGGCTAAACGTTTTCAACTTGCTTATCATACTAACATTTCAAAGATAAAATCTTAAAATAAAATAAAACCGACCGAAAGACATACGGTGTTAGTCGATGGTGACTTTTTGGAAAAATGTCAACTTTTTGTCATTCAATTCAGAAAGGATTTCTATTTATGGGAAGCTAAAGTTGGCACTTAAAAGTAGAGCAATAATGCCCAGCAGACGCAAAAACTTGTCAAACCAATTTCATTGGATGGCAGACGAAAACAATAAGTTTGTATATATGGTGAAAAGTATTAACAACGGCTAACCTATTGCTGAGAAAAATGACAGAATGCCACCTCCCATGAAAACATGATAGTCTTCATCTTATTATTCGAAAACGTGCAATTTTGTTTCCAGATGTCGTATATGAAAATAGCTAATCAGTTATTTCATCAGGTGAATGGACTTGCACACTGGACACGTCTTTCTGCATCATTCTTGACGGTGGAATGTAAAAAATTAAAAAATGTTCAAATTAGTCAAGTGAATGTTTTGCTGTTATTTTCTATCATAGTTTGCATTACCACTTGTGGCGGAGTGAAATTAAAGAAAATGGAATATTGGTTTAGACCAACAAATTGACAATTTTTATCTGTGAACATCGGAAAAATTTTCCACAGTGCTCCAGCAATACCTTAAGTTTTCGATAAACGCAGCGCCTAGGTACCAAGATGTACCGTATTCAAGAAGGGATTTTCGCAACCGCTGCACTATCCACTCGAAATAAATCTAGATGATAAACAGTTACATACAATTCAGTGATTCCCAAAGTGGGCGATATCGCCCCCGGTGGGCGAAAACGATACAGAAGAGGGCGAAAAAGTCGAGGGGGGCGATTTGGCGAAACCTGTTTTTGTTGGGCGCATCGTGCACTTGGATACTGTACTCTGCGTGCTTTCGTAGGTTTCAATCCCGTGGGCAATTATCACACGCGAAATGATTGCTGGACTCGTCTACGCCGTAAGGTACGGTAGTTTGCGTATCCCAGTGTTCGGTAAAATACGGCCGGAGTGAAATATTCTGGCCCGGGACGCTTCACTGAATGGACCTTTCTCTGACCTTTGACCCCGGTAAATTCTTTCTATATTTCGGTGCGTATTTTGGGAGTGGTTTCGCGGGTTGTCGCCTGTAAAATTGGGTATTTGTTTCAAACTATCATTCTAATTCATAACATTCAACAATCTGTTTTTTAAAAGTACCAGTAAAGAATTTAAGCCTAGTCTCGTCACAGCTATTTCTACACTAATTTTTGATTACTGCAATTAAACTGAAACTCCCATAAAGACAAAGTGATCATTGAATTATTTGATTTATATTCAAATTTCCGAAACACAACTAAAAACTAACGAATATAATTCAGAAAACGCGAAAATGGGGTAGCCTAATGTTTACAACCACGCCTCAAAATCTGTTTGAGTGAGAAAAGTGTCTGAGCAGTTGCGAAATGGGGCATTCTTACGTTTATTTTTGCATCGTGATGATTGGCCAATGTCACGGAGTAAACGAGGAAATCTATGCCCGAGGAAACATCCATTATACACACAACACGGCGGTTTTGACGATGAATTAATTTTATTTATAATCTACGCTCGAGGAGTAAATTACATTTTGTACGTAACAGAATTTATCGGGGGACACGTTTAGACTGAATTAAATTATATCCTAACAATTTAGTGAACAGCTAGCTCGTTTAACGAGCCTACAATTTAAAAGTTGTTTTGTTTATAATTCGCAAAATTTAAACCGATATCTTCAACAAAAAGGTCGGGTAGTGAGCGTTTTCTCAAGCAGGCGATGGTGAACAAGCCTATCGAAGAAGCATGGTTGATAACACAAAGTTCGCCTTGCATCTTAAGTAAGTCAAATAAATATGTAAAACAATTATTCTGGTAGAGGAAATTACCGATTACTAATTTTAGATTTTGATTCTCAGGATTGCTCGAATATGCCAGTACCAAGCACGAATACCCACGGTTGTTCATACAGAAAATGGCGAGCGAAACAACTTTGGAAGAGTATCGGACAAGATCTCCGATAACGAGAACATGCAGCATGCCAAATTTAGGTAAGTTAGTAAAGCTAAATGATAACATAAATTCTTAATATTGCATGTATATAATTAAGTTTTGCGACTATGGAGGGTTGCCTGTATGGAAATGTAGCAGATTGATTCCCGACCTTTTATGGTTTGTGGTCCCCTTCAGAGGTTTTTAGTAGGCTACTCATGCCCCCATCCCCCCTGTTTGTAATTTCATTGGTATTTATAGTAATATTTTGATTTGTAGATTCTAATTACCGTTATGTTTAAACAATTCATGCACAAAAAGTGAAAACCTTGTCAAGCAATGAAACTTGAAATAACGGAGAGTTTCCTTGTAAAGGGAGAAGTAAAATCAGTTTTGCTCCTAAATTGGTGGCCCCCTCCAACTGCTATGTGCCCCCCGTTTGAGAGCCTTGGGTCCCGGTTGGGAACCGTCAGACTGTAGCATAATTTTATTTTATATGACACAGAAGCAAGAACAACATATCAGATGAAACTATTATCTTGAATTTAAAATCAACAAAACTCATTGATGTAAAATTCATCCCTACGTTAAACATGTTGGAATTTATTTTTAGGATATGCATATATGAATTTGGAATGTGAAAAACATGAAGCTACGGAAGCTCATTTTGAAAACCCGGTGGAAAACTCGGTCCTAATTCCTCAACCTCTAGAAGTCTTGTTGCCAAGCAATTCTTAATTGAGTGAAAACAGGATGGCAGTTGAAAGCCTATTAATCGAAGAAGATATTGGTGTTTGGTAATTATCCCATTGTGCTTTTTTTCAACGGTATATGACTTTACAAACTTTTCATTTTACTTGTCGTAATTAATTGACGAATAAAACAGACCCAGTGAATCGCAACTACATATATCGTTGTGTAGGCCTACAGATAATTACAAAATGTTCAGCAGCAATACAAGATAGACTGATCAAACCCACGGAAAGTCCGAGCTTTGAGCGTTCTAATATTCCGCACACCCGGAAATGGGGCTATCGGGCTTTATAGTGCAATAATTTTCTTCATTCAAAGACGCCTACTTGTTGCACTTTACTGCTATTTGGATTACAACAGGAAGTCCATTTGAATTTGCGTTTATTCGACTAACATAGGATTCTCGTCGGGTTACCAACCGCCTGCGTAAAGTTCTGCGATTCCCTCGCACATATTCATTTCTCGTAAAATTTGCACTCATAAGTCCACGCAAGGCAATAGAATTTTGCCCCTAAATTTATATCTTAGAAATAATTTAAACCATTTGAATCAAGTAATCAGTTTCAAAAAACAATTCGACATTTATGAATGTTTATTCGTTTCGTCAGCCTTGTGGATACAAAAGTTGACATCGAAAACGAGCCTATAATACCCAGGCGAAACGAAAGACGAATCTATCCTCTTGGACAGAAACGAAAATCGGAGGGAATGAGAACAGCCAATTTCATGAAGTGCCTCTTTTATCCAATTGCTCGTTGTTTTGGTTGGCGGCGTGAAGAGAAAGACTAACAAAATATATTTGATACAATCTTTGTGAGTGAGTGTGAATGAGTCGATATTTTAGTGCCAGTTTTTTTCTTAGTTCTGAGTTCTTTTAAAAGTAAATTTAGGATATTGTATTCAGTGTCATTTTTAGTTTGATTATATGTACGAGATGATTGACCTATTTTAGAAATTTAATTGGAACTGTTCATAACAAAACAAATAGTTTGTGCAATTATTCAGTGATTAGTGCATTTTCATGACTATGCCGATGTCGCAGATTAGAGTTCTGTTCAGTAGGCTGCCATGTTTATCTCAAAAATCAGACTCGGCGTCTACATGGGGAGCCAATATCCGTAATATACAGGATATTCGAATGACGATAGGATCGTACAATAATTGCCATATTTATAACACCAACAACTATTGTTTCCAATAACATGGTGTTTCAACCTTGAGACTCGTGAAGAGTTTGACGAGTTATTGGAAATGGAATGTTCACAAATATGAAGCAATCTGTTGTGAAATGTTTTTATAACAACTTTTGCGCCTTGAGATTTTCTTGAAAGTCTGACTATTTTATGAAAACAAACCGCAATAAATAATGTCGATCCATTCCATCAAAATATCAGCTCAGTTTTCATTCGGCAAGGTGTCACATCTCTCTCCTCACAAAACTGTTTGTAAGGGGCCAATTGGTCGTGGAAATTCCTCAACTCGGCAGAACCGGAAGATTTCCGGTTGGGCAAAGCGAGCGAATTTTTTTATACTCGG